CAAAACTTTTCCAAAGTAGGGGGCTTTTGTAGACCAAACATTTTAAGGAATTTTGGTAAAAGGCGCAAATCAAAAAGTTGTATCATTGCTGAGATACTGATATTTTACGAAAAGCCCTGAAAAACGTAGATTCCGCCATCTTGAAAATTTGCCAACTTTAAACTCTTCTAACGCAGTAACAACAGATTACTTAACCTTGGCGATTTTCCCATAAGTAGCAGATAGTGTCTACTACAAATCCACGCAACCGCGAGCTCAAAACATGCTTTCGTTATTTTGTAATAGATGCCGCACTAAGAGCCCAAATCCAAACTATTGTCTCGCGGTTGTTATATTTTCTGCGTGATGGCCCTGTATTTACAAGCCTTTGCTTTTTTTGTGCTTTCCTTTTGTGCTTTTTTTTGTGATCGTTTGATACTTCTAAGCTTAAAATCTGTACTTCGGCTTGAGACTCGTCTAGCTGTTGGGCTAACTGCAGTACAGGTTAAAGAAAATACGAAAGCAGTCGGGCTGGAGGCTCGTGTTCGAGTAAGAAAGCATTATTTAGAAGTATTTCGTTATTTCATTGTGCTTTTTATAGCTCAAATAAGCTGGACTGAGGCCGGCATTTTCGGATATAAAAGACGCTTAATCCCAGGTTTCTATTGTTAGATCTTTGCCCTGAATTCTAACCTAAATTCCTATCTTTCTGCATGTCAGATGGTTTTTAGAGCAAAGGGCATATTCAGTCTTCAAAAGTAAAACAAGTTTACGAGGAGGCAGCGTCTCTATTGACGAATACGCCTGTGTAAATAAAGCCAACTATTTTCAAATTTCGCGCTATTCCGGTTCAAAGGGCAAAGTGCACTGCGTACAGCCTACAATTCAGATTTACACTATGCTTTACAGGGCAAAGATCTAACAATAGAAACCTGGGATTAAGCGTCTTTTATATCCGAAACAGATCCTAAATGTATTCTTATCTTCGAATGTTAGCGCAATATTTAGAATCTGTACACTTTGAATCCTTTTTGCAGAAACCAGGTTGTGGATGGAAAAGGAGACTAGACGCGTACATTATATATGCACTAAAAAGATCTCATTAACAACATTGCGAGAAGATGGATAATTAATTAGAGCGATTTGGCGCCAAACGACCGCTTGTGATTCGCGCTCAAGTCTATTTCTGTTGCATCTGGCGGAATAATTATAATTAGGAGTTCTTTTCAATAAACATGCAAGAAATTCCGCGTTTTTCCATTATTTTGAGTAAAGCAAGCGCTTCGACGTAGAATTTTAGGCATATCAATCACCTTGAATTTCTATTGGTTAGCGTAAGAAACAAATAAAATAGTTGTACGCATCGTGTATTTTAAAGGCTATTATAATTGCGTATTCCGCAATTATTCAGTACATCTTATTCCAAAGACAAGTTAAATAACGGCTAAATCATAATATCAAATTACTCCACTAAGAGCATAAAGCCGTATACAGCAAGGTAGCCAAAAGGCGGGGTATTCTTCCTTCTTCCAATCAAATGCTTTTCATCCGTGAAGTGAGATGCGAACTTTGAGTGCTAAGTTATTCGGATTCTCCATGTACCACAGTTCATACCTAGCTGATACCTTCGTAAATTCATGAAACCTTTTGTCTCATTTACCCCTGAATTTTTCTTACCATACAAAAGCAGAGCAGCTTTCGTTCCTTCCGACGTGCAATGAGCAACAGTGCATAAATATCATTTAACAGTAGCGTGTGCTTTCTGCTCTTAATCGCTAAACGAGTAAGCAAGTCAGCAAAGAAACTAATCGCAGCCGTCATGCAGCCAATAAACATGCCAAAAGAAAGAAAGAGCGTACGTATTGTGGTAGTTGTTGTTAATTGAACTGTTGACGCAAGTGATGTAGCTGTGGATTTTAAGTCAAAAGAAATAAATACACATAAACTTTTGGGTCTTACACTCCATCAACTGGATGTGAAATCTACCTGCTACTGTAATTATTACATTGGTCGTAGTTTGAAGTGTTGTTGCTGATGAAGTTTCTGTTGAAGCTAAAATTCGCTTGGTCGAGGTAGCTGCAATGAGACGAATTTTGACACAGTACCGTTTCTAATATTGAAGCTGGATCTTACAGGTTTTCGATCATGTTGAATCTAACGGTATCAGCAATCTTTTTGGCTCCCTTACGTCATAATGGGATTCCAGAAAACCGATTTTTGCGCGCTGAGATTTTACCAAGCACTTTTTCTTAGAACAGTCTTAGACATTGAAGTCAAGCAACCATATAGGCCTTGTAGAGCATACTGTCTTTACGCATTGTGTATTTTAAAGGCTATTATAATTGCGTATTGCGTATTTTAAAGGCTAGTTATTGGCAGCGCTGATCATCTTGGCAATATTTGTTTTTAGAAAAAATTTAACAATCTCCCGAAAAGCAAGTGTTAGGAAAATTAGGGTTTCGAGCCTGTTCCAAGGGGGAAACACCGTACTTTCCGCTACTCCGCGGAGTGAACTTTCACTCCGGTTTACTCCGTCACTCCAGTTCGCTCCGGAGTGGGCGGAGTGACAAGTGGTATAACTCTCGTCTCTCACATTTGTTGATCGGCTTTCTTCTCAGCAATAGTATGCACAGCACTAATGAATGCTAACAATCCAAGTTCTTAAAATAAGTGATAATCATATCAGCAAATATCGAGCATTGCTGTGGTGAAACTGTTGCTACTGGGCTCAATCAGGCTTCCTTTGTAACTATAGATAACAGTGGAAATCTTTTCGTTTCTGATTCAGGAAATTATCACATTACGAAATTTATACTTGGTTCAACAACGGGAACGGTAGTTTATGATGGTAGTGGTAGTAATGTCAATCCTCAAGGTGTTCGTATTGTTAGTGATGGAACGTTGTATTTTGCTGATGGTAGTAATTCTGTTGTATTCAAATTAACCAATGCAACAGGAAATGCTACAATTGTTGCCGGTGAATTTGGTGTGGCTGGTTCCCCTCCATCTGAGTTTAATATGCCGACCGGTGTATATGCTGATAGTCGCACATTTTATGTTGGAGATTATATAAATAATGTAGTTATAAAATTTTTCTCTAATTCAACCAGCGGAACTAATGGAACCGTTGTTGCAGGTAAAATAATATATCACTTTAATCATTCACTCAACAGGCATGATATGCGATGGAGAAGAAAGACGTTTGTCTTCGTTCCAGAAAAGCACACTTAATATAATACTCATTATCAGCATCAAATTCTCAATTGAACGATGTGGTAGAAAAATCAGAGAAAAATCATTTTTTCAATCTTCCAAGGAAGTGTTAGAAGCGAAACTTTTTCGAACAAAGTACAAGTCAACATTTTACATTTTCTCTACCTGAACCATTAAAAATGTGGCATTTTAATCGACGTTTTTCTATCGTTGTTTGAGGAAGAACGTGAAAAGTTGGACGATTATGCATTATAACTAACAAGAGAAACTCCGATTTCAATGAGCTTTTGTCTGTAGATACTATATAGAGTGCTAGTAAGAATCCTAAAAGGATTTGGGTTCATATTGGTTCTTTCAAAAGTTATGAATGTTTTATAACTTAGCAAAGAATTTGAGGGAAGGCTGAAATTTTCTGTGATTATAAATACAGAAAAAATGTTCACCCTTTCACATTGTGTTTTGACTCTGGTATCGAATTTTTAATAACTTATGCTATGCGATGTATGGACAAAATAAAAACATTCATAACTCTTGAAACAAGCAGCACGAACCCAAATCCTGAATAGTATCTATAGGCAAAAGATCATTGAAATCGGAGCTGGATATCTGGGGAGGTTCCCTCGTAAGTCTTTATCTCAAAAGCTATGCAGTCACTCCTTTTCCAAAATATGACCTTACAAATGAAAGAACAGGGTCAAAATTAGAAAATACCTCAAAAAGCAGGAGAACTGGCCATTATTATGCCTTTTTTAATACTAAAACAAGCAGATATAAGCATAAGATAGCCATATTCGTAATCAGCTATTTGAGATCAGATATTACTATACTTGTATATAAGGTGCGGGTAATTCAAAGTTTCCGTGACTTTTCGATTTGTTTAAAAGATACATCATTCGATAGAGCTCGTCGAGCTCTACAAGAATATGAGGTTTAAAAAATTTCTAACCCCTTTCTTCGTGA